CATTAGCAGTGCAAGATATATCATCTTTCGACTAGACCAGTATCTTCATTAACTTTCCACTCTTCTTGATTTTGGACCAGGAATTGAATGGATATCTCATTTATCGTTTCATGGTTTGAGCATTAATAAAATACACCTAGCAAGCAACGGTATTTTGCAAGCTCATACTGACACATTTTCATACTGATATCAAGGCATATTTGTATCCTGATGATCGCTGAATATCATTGACGAAACGCATCAGCGAGAACAAATAAGACATCTTTGTTAGTTAAGTATGTTTTATTCAGGCCAATACCTTGTCTGTCACCGGTTATTTACTTAAAAGCCCACTGTTGTAATGCTTTCTATGCAGCATAATGCTGGGGTTCGGTTAAAACATTGATGAGAATTATTATTACGAACAGCTTATCAGGTAGGCACACATGATAAACCCAAACTGATCTGTTATTGACAGATTAGTGGCTGGTTGTTAAGCAGTTCACACGATAGCCCTAGGGGAAACATGAAATATCGCTATTTAACCACTACACAAATACTGCTATTCGGGCATAACTGAAACTTCATAAACACTTTAGACTTGAAAAAGAACTCTTCGGGAAAAGTCAGTGGTGTGAATTCGATGGCTGATCCGTACGACAAGCAGAACTGCGGCTGTCATGCGATTTGCTTTGCGACAATTTATCGATTAAAGCATGGATCGAAAGGTTCTTGATTTTGACGTTCATTTTTTTCTGCATTGAATCCGATAAAATAGAAATCAAATCTGTACTCTTGAAAAGTCTGTCGTTTCCCATACAACATAGGATAAGGAGTTTTACATTCGCTGTTGGTTACTACCACAGAATAAATACCTTCTGTTCATAGAAGTGGAACGATCATGTATCCTTTCGTGTTACATTGCAAAGCCTTATGTCAGGTACTGTGAATGTCCGTTTCCGAATGTCGTTCGTTTAGCGTCGACATCATTTTGCCGTTAGTTTTGCTTCACCAAGCCATCATCATCAGTGTTGAGTATCAACGGCATAAAATAGCTACAAACAGTGGAGACATTCACTTTTATGTCTAAACTTCGACCCTTTAGAATTTGCTTTAGACGCACAGGCATGTCATCTCGTGATCATCGTGGATAAATCAGCCGAATATTCGAAAATTCGCTACGTCTTCATCGCTGTTCTAATGCTTGCCTAAAAAGCCTAATGCTTGTCCTGTCTTATTTCGACATTGCGTGAGACTCCTCGCATCAGTGGTTATTCGCGTTCTGGGCAATTAACTGTGGTGATGCTTTCTCCCTGCGAGCCGTCTATCTGTCCAAACCGAAAGGCCCTTTTCAGGGCCACCGCAGAACTTGCTTTGACCACGGAAGAAGCTAAATATTGTCACCTTGAACTGTTAGTCCTTGAAAGGTGAATACAGGCAAATTGTCATCTCCAAAACCTTAAACAATCTAAATGCACCGATCGCATACCTCCAAGAAACGCGATTAAAGAAATGACGATGTCACGAAAATGTGCTATCCTGCTGGCGAAATATTTTACATATTACTCGCATCGAAGGCTGCAGAAGGTGTCTGTGGTTGCGGAGTCGCAGTGCGCTCAGACTACAAAGGAGCTGTAGAAGAATGGAGGCCAATTAGCCCAGGATTGTGTTGGATAACGATCTCAAAATCGTTCCGAACAACATGGCTTATAACCAGAGACGCGCTACGAATAATGCAGCTAAACAAGGAAAAGACACTACGATAAGTCTGAACAATTACTTGGCGCCATACCTTAGAACGATCTTGTAATCCTAGGAATGGATGCCATTGCACAACTTGGCAGCGGTAAAACGAATGTCGCACTGGAAAAATGAATCCTGTTGGCAGAAACGACCACAGAAAATGGATCGTTGCTCCTCAATCTCTCTGAAAAATTTAGCCTGACAACTGCGACGATCATGTCGCGAAATCTACGCCAAAGATCGACATGGCAAGGCCCACAACGCTTGACTATTGAGCAACGGAAAGAGTGTGGGTGGAAGAAGTTACAACCATAGTTGGACTACATGCTCATAAATGACCGTTGAGCACATCAAAAGACGGTCTAAAAGTATCGGGAGATGCGCTAGTCTGTCCGATCATGTCCAGGTGGTCTTAAAGATAGTGCCATATGTTACTGC